AAAAAAAAAAAAAAAAAAAAGCTAAAATAACATGATAAGCTATTTTTTTGGATACAAATGAATACAAAATGAAAAAAAAAACCTTCATTTATGTTAAACGAAGCCTCACTTAAACTCCATCAGTTCAGGAAAATTTTAACAACTCTTCCTTTGCCAGTATTATGCTCCAAAATACAATTATAAAAGATTTTTTGCCTTCAAACAATTATAAGCAAGAAAAACTGGAAAAAAAACTCTAAATTTATTTTTTTCTTTCACTGCTAAATACTAATAAAAACATTTTGCTGTAAAAAAAACGTAATATTGTAAGATTGAGAGTGGGAGGATGTTGGGATGTTTCAGTGTGCCATTGAGGAAATTATGCCATACATGGATGGTATAAAAAGAATGATGTTCTTAGCTCAGCTTGGGTTCCACTCTCAAAATGGCCAACTTTAATTTTAGGACTTAAAAAAAATCTGTTTCTGATATTGTTGCATATACTTTTGGCATTATAACAGACTTCACAGCTTTAAATATTGTAAGATTCTATGGTATAAGATGATCTCATAACAGTACAGCTAGAGATTATACTTTTCTGACTGTTCTTTCAGCTATAATTAGATTATGTTTGTATCTGAAATAGGTGCAGAAGTATATGTCTGTCATTTGAGAGTCTGGGCCAGAGAACTTTGAGTTTATAATCCACCAGTCTCTTTTCCCTCCTATTGTAGGCTCACAGATATGTTAGCCATCAATGTTTGACCTTACAAATGACTACAACACCTTAGTGGTAGAGGAAGGAGTCTATATCCCTGAATGATCCTGTGGAACAATATTTCCATACAAACTTACAGTGGAAGGGCTGTAACATGTCTTTAAATAGTCCAACAGCCTCCAAAATGATCTCTATCTCCAGTACTCCCACTTCATTGTCTTTTTCCTTCTCTCAGAGGGATGGATGATGGAATTTACATACAACTCTAAAGCATGTCTGATAACACTCAAGATTTCACCTGCCTCTGGATTAAAGATCATTGGGACCCAGATCCCAAGTGACCTTTCAATCTCTGGCTATAATAAACCCTGAATCATTCCTAGCATTGCTCATAACCATTGTATATTTGTTCATTTCCTTCCTTTGTTTTAAAATGCATTTTCGGGGCGCCTGCGTGGCGCAGTCGGTTAAGCGTCCGACTTCAGCCAGGTCACGATCTCGCGGTCCGTGAGTTCCAGCCCCGCGTCAGGCTCTGGGCTGATGGCTCAGAGCCTGGAGCCTATTTCCGATTCTGTGTCTCCCTCTCTCTCTGCCCCTGCCCCGTTCATGCTCTGTCTCTCTCTGTCCCAAAAATAAATAAAAACGTTGAAAAAAAAATAAAGAAAGAAAATAAAATAAAATGCATTTTGGGTTGCTTGGGTGGCTCAGTCAGTTTAAGTGTCCAACTTTTGATTTTGGCTCAGTTCACGGTCTCAGGGTCATTAGATCAAATCCCAAGACTGGTTTCACGCTGAGTGTGGAGCCTGCTTAAGATTCTTTCTCCCTCTTCCTCTACCTCTCCCCACTGCTCATGTATGCTCTCTCTCTCTCAACAACAACAAAAGCATTTTGTCCAGTCTTTCTTTGATGAAATCTGAGTCATTCCTCAAGATCCAAAAGTAATGCCACCTCCTAAGGCCATCTAAAATCCTTCTGAATATAATGAATTGTTGCTGTTGTAGACAACCAAACAGTTCATTTGTAACACTACTTAACACCCACCACATCTTACTTTATGTTATATTTGCTCCCAAGATCCACCAAGACTGAGAACTTTGATTTGCTCTTTAAAAATCCAATAGCAATGGGTCCTACATTTGAATTATACATACCAGTAAAATGTACCTCAAGTGAGGAAAAAAAAATTATCATCCAATTTTAATAATATCAAGGAAGGAAAATTTTAAAAGCACATCCAATTTCACCAACGTCATATAAATATGGGTAAATTTTTGTACAATAATAGGAAGGACAATATATAAGTTTATACTGAAAGATAAATTTCCCATAAAAATATGATTGGTTAAAAAGAATGCTAGCATTACATTACACACGAAAGGAAAAAGGGGGATTTAAAATTTTCAATATGAAATTTTATTTTCTGATATTTACCAGTTTTGATTGCCATATCAGTGCTATATTTTGATAACACCAATTTAACTTTTGTTAGTTTAACAAGATTTTTGATATTTTATAAAAAGTGAATGCACAACCATCAGGGGGTACTTAGCTTTTACCACTGTTATTGTCAAAGAGCCAATTTCACACAAATACAACGGTGAAGATAGAATTGACACCATTAATGTGTTTTTAAGCCATCCTGAAATTTCTGAAAATGTTTGTAGCATTCATTCGCCATATTTTTAAAATGTGATGTTGGTTATGACTTCTTTGCTTTACTTTTAATGAGAATTCATTGTTGACTTCGTATTTTTCTACTATTTTATTTAGAACCCCAAATTATATAAGCAAAAGGCCCCCACCCCCAATCTACCCACATGGTAGAAAAACAGAGAAAAAACTAACTGCAAGAATTGGAACAAAGTACTTGTGATTATTTGGGGATGATAGTTTTGGGGGATACACACACACACACACGCTCACCATACGCGTATTTTTGTTATGAAAAGAATACTTTTTTTTTAAGAATACTTATAATACTAACAAGAGTAGTTCTTTTAAAGTGGGGGAGGAAGAAAAGAGCACGTAAAAATTAAAGAACGAAATAACAAAGCTGTCCCCTGACAAGGCTCCGCACGGAGAAAAGCTGCCGCGGGGCCGCCACGGCGCCCACATTCCTCCCGCGGAGGCCGGGGAGCCCACTGCGCAGGCGGCGCCTATAGGCTTCCAAACGCTGGCGCAGGAACCGCACGCACCTGCCGAGCCTCCCCTCACACGCGCGCT